ATTTCTAATAATTTAAATACAAATTTTGCAACTTGTACACAATTCTTTAGAAAAATAATTACATTTTTTAATATAAATTTTCCTACATCAGCCAATTTTATAATAAAAAAATATAGTTACAAGAAAATGATATTTTTTATCGCGTCGTATGATTCTATCTTAGCATACCTTTTTGTATTAAGCAAATTTTATATTACTTTTGTTAGTAGTTTCTAATATAAAATAGCTAATCATTGACACTTCATTAAACTATAAATGTAGTTTTTTAGTAGTCGTTAATGGAACCACCATATAAGTGTTTACTCTAAGCTTACTACGGTAATAGATGTTAAAGCTAAGACGCTTTTGTAGTTCTACAAAAAAAAATGCAGCAAAAAATATTTGTTTGAATTACAATATTATGTAGCACATTTTCTTCCAAGGAGAAGAAACACGTCACTTTTCAGTTATACAATACTATATACAATCTACAAAACTAGATGTTATGACAGGCGAGTATTTTCAAATACAAAATTCGTATACCACAGAAATAATCTATGCTATGTTATCTACTAAAAAGCGTGGCGCGTCCATGAATTATTCATGAAATATGTGTTCCTATCAACAATGTTTTTGATCTACAACCATAAATGTAGTGCACATTTTATGTAACTGTACATTACAACAAACCAAATTTATTTTATCATATTCAAAACATTTATGTTCAAAATAAAATAAAACAAACAATCGTATGAATAAGTAATTATAAAATAACCGTGGTTTCCATTTTATTATAACAGAAAAGTATTTTATACTTATGAGAATATGGTAGTTTCAGAAACGATACAAAATCATGCGCTTATTACCTTTAAATGTTTTCAACATTCCCATATTTAACATAACGTTTATTCTCCTTTTAATAATTTTCATTATTCACAGAGATTTCTAGTACAATTCACAAACATTTTTATGTGACGTTTAAGTAATGTATACATAATAAAATTATTTTTCCGAACATTTTGTTTGTTCCTTCTAAAATTTCAGTAATTTTTTACACTTTAAAAAAGTAACATTAATATTAAATGTCAAATATTAAATTCGTATGACCCTGAAATTACACTCCCAAAGTTATCACATCATTGATATTGATCAAATAAGTCAAGAATCTTCTACTTCTTAGCAGCATAAATTCTTATATCGATAAACGTATTGCCATTAAGGATAAACGTTAATAACGTAAATGTATCTTCTGCTACTAAGAAAGCAAATAAAATTAAAATTTCTTAAATTTACGGTAACTTGTTAACAGACTAGTTGAAAAATGTATGAAAATTTGAAAATTTGGCAATCGTTCTTTTCTTTAAAATAGCAGTAAATTATCACAGAATACATTTTTTCATAATTCGTCAAGTAACTATCGGTAATAGTTATTTTAACAGTTATATGGAGAATCGTAGAAAAATGTTCTGTGTATAATTTACACGCTTCGTATATTATTTACATCTATTTAAATCATTAAGAATTTCGTTCCAAATTTTTCTGTAAATTACTCTCATAAGTAAAAAGAAAGTGGGCAAGTACTGATTAAATCGTGGCTGTTTCAGACTTTGCCAGATCTACGCAAACTGTGTGACTGATAGTTGAAACGTGTGCCGTTCCGTTAGTATCAGAACTGATAATATTTAAGGATGAAATTTTGGCACGCTGATATGCCACTACCGTGTTCAAACTTAAAAACCTAGAAATAATTTTATTAATAAATATAATGCCTGTACTGTAATGTTAAATATTGAAGCAAACAATTTTCCTTCATTTACCTTATACAAACATACATCACTAGCAATGCAGTACCAGCTGCAAACATTCGAATAATAGGACCTTCAACTAATTGTATGAGCGTCCAAGCAGCAGCTGATGACCCACACATCGTAGTAACAATGGCAATAGTTTGCAAACAGTGTCGCGACGTCATGCTATTTTGCCAATCCAATCTATTTGCATGTTCAACATTGTATTGAGTACCACACACTTTACATGTCAAACTGTCAGCATTTACAGAGCTCTGAAATATATACAAGTGTAAAAATATCATTCAAAAAATTAGATATAGAATGCTGAAACAGTATCTTACCTCAACTAACCATCGACGCAAGCAGTTATGATGAACTGCGCTTACATCGCCGCGACACTGGCAAGGTTGTATTAACGGGCCTGCATCTTGTCTGTCACTATCGTAACAAATCCAACAATCTTTACTACTAATTGATGTACCATCTGAAAAAAGTGCAGCATCCTGTTCTCCGCTTTTGTCTTCAATTTCCTTCACGTATTTAGACTGATCTAGTCTTTTGAATATACGCTTTGGATTTAATATCCATAACTGTTCTGGGCTAAAATACAAACATTTATGTTAAACATTAATGCCTAGATCTAAATCAATGTTAGAAATTATATAAAAAATATTAATACAAAAAAATATACCTAAAACAATTCCATAACACACATGGAAACCACAATACTACTCCCACTTCGATAACTCGGAAAACAACGTCATGCCAATTCCTGCTGTACAAAGGAACCCTGTAATAAAATCAAATTAATAAAATTGAAAGTTGTGTATTTTGCATTCACAGATTTTTTTTTTCAGACTTACTTAGTCTTCCAAAATTCGCTAAATGTTTCGCTACATAAGAATCCAACTATAATGAAAAGCATAAAAGCTTGCGATAGTAATCCAACACGAGACTGATGCAGTTGAGAAATATTTATCTGTTCTTGTACTTGCAGTGATTGGGATGTACTGGGAATGGGATCAAATAATTTTGTGGTAACTTGTTCTTCAGGATTAACTTTTAAATCAGAGACTGTGCGTTTGTTTACAACTCTAGCTCCCTGACAATCAATCAAAAATCCACCTCGAATCTAGAGGAACAAGGTTTTTACATACACGTGTATACCACAGGAAAAGACATTTAATAAAATTCTAAACTGACCTTAAAGAAAACCTCTACCCCGTAAATTAAGAAAAAGATGACAACAATAAACAAGAGCACTGCATAACATCCATTAAAAATGTGTGTGTAGAAACTCTGAAAAAAAAATTTAAATGTATATCCGAATGTACTAATAATAATGTTAAATTATTATACATCTATTACTCACCTGATCCTCCTGAGAATATATCTGAGCAGTAATAAATTCTGCCAAGAGCAGAGAATATGTTAATACATTAAATACTACAAAACCCACAAACGATTTTGAAAGAAACTGTGGCTTGTCCCATGACATGTCTCTCAAATGAAACACTTCTGCCCAAAAACAAACAATTAATGATGATCCACTTAAAACAAGTGGATAATATGCAGATAATAAACTTCGAGACCATCCTTCCTTGAACGCATTCTGTTAAAGCAATAACATATTTCATATTAAAAAATTTATGGATGTATTAAGGATATTTTATAAATCTTCTACTTACAGGAGATGTGAAATACGCTCCTCGAATTAACGATGCCAAAAAAACAATAAAATACAAAACTTTCTGGGTAGTGACTCTACATGCTCTAACAAAAGATGGTGCTTTCATTTTCTGCCATTCAGCAACAATACACATGATGAGTTGTATTAGGCAAATGAATGCCAACATAAAAAATATAGTTGCAAATGCAATATAATAACTTAAATTTGGAACGTGACATTCTAATCCATCGAACTGGATCTATGAATAATGAAATTTTCATATTAAAATGAACTAATTGTATTTAAGATTTCATTATCATTATCATAATGTTTACCTCGCACAAACAAGTACCATTATGGCATTCACCATGTCCAGAACAATTTTCGTTCCCACATGTGTCATTCCATGCCATCATCCCAAATTTGACCAATAGAGACAATGGATTTTGTGTACTTAAAGCAATCATTTGATTCATGATTGCTATATATAAAACTGACTGCTTTTACACAGTCGTACACAAGATCTATAAAATATAATAAATGTTAAAATATTTTATACAAATTAAAAATGTGATCCACAACATCACAGTAATATAAATTTTAGAATTATTGCAAAAATTCTTATAATATTACATTTAATTGCAATCAATAATAAAGTAATAAGCTGTATAACAGTTTTCTTACACAAAATTAAGAAATTATATCCTAACACGTATCTTTATGTACATATTCTTCAAAGCAACAGTATAACAAAAACAAAAAGATTCAACATAGTAAAATAACAATCAGAAAACGAATATATAAAAAATGCATGTAATAGCTCTATAACTCACGAAAAACACAAAGCAAAATATTATTGTTACACATGCCAAAAAGTTAATTCATACATATTTTTTATAGAGTACCATAAAACAGAACACAATACAACGAGACACGTATCAACGATAAAAATTAAATAAACGAATAACCTTGTGCTTGTTGAATAGGCTATCAAATTTTATAATTCGGCTTATTCTTTATTATTGCAAGTACTTACATATAATGAGACAGTCCAAGTGCAGTTGCAGCCACCTACACAACAATTTAACAATCCGTCAGTTGTCATTAACACTTCGTTTCCTATAAATACTGACATCGAAGAGAAATTACATTAGGAAAGTTTTGAGCATTTTAACATGACACTGACGGAGAAAAACTATAAATAAACTGTCATCGAGTTACACATTTAATTACCACAATACACTTTATCTACGCTGCAAATTGACGTTCTCGTCTTTCTCATCAAATCTAGCACTGATAATAGTATTTCCAGATGGATTCGTTCAGAAGAGGAAAATGTCGATAAAACAGGTCGTCTTTTTGTTCGTTTCCAAACAACTCAAATTTCAACAAAAATTACCATCTTTTAAAATTTGAATAGTGAAGTGTAATTACAAGTAAATACTAAATTATAAATAATTTATATGTATTTATATACTAATAAACCAAAATAATTGGTTTATTCAATACTAAAAAGGTTAAAACAATAAAATGAGAATCCTCTCTTAGATTGCGATGTTCTATGATTAATTCCACGCATATCAAGTTTACTTGCAATAAATTGATTTATATTACACTAAATAAGTTTTAATACAAAACATTTATATTCAAACTGGGAATATTCAGACAAATGTATATTTTTATTGAATAAAGTAGCAAACATAAAATTTGAAAAAGATTCAACGGAATATTAATGCTGTTCCTCATATCAGATACATAATACGTAACAAAAAAAGAAGAAATTCTTAAAACAAATGTTCCCACAATTATCGTTACGAATCGATCATAGAATATATTGAAACACCAGAAAGTTCAGATTTCGGTTAGTGAATCTTAGTTAGACAAAGGTGGATAAATTAAAAATATTTTTCAAATTTATTTTATTTCAAGAATATTGTACCCATGTTTACTAAAACGACTTTTACAAATTTGATCTTTACATAGGTTTATAAGATTAATATTCTTTCCTATTTTGTGTAAAGATAATATAGCAGTTGGTAAAAATGTGTTACTTTAAGAACACATTGATCTGTGAAGGATTCATTATAGAATACATTTACAAACGTGGTAGATATTTGTAGGTTTGCGAACGACTTCTAGGAGTTTCTGCGTAATACATGAAAGAAGTTCGTTCTTTGCGAAACATATAATTCAAAGTGAAGCACAGCTTCAGTCTATTTACAAAAGTATGTATTACTTTTCAACCTTTAATTGTTATTATTTTTAAATAAATTATTATTTGTATCCAAAGAAATATTAAGTATTACGTAACTTCCGTTTTATACTAGCAAACCCTTTTCTCCTTAACCTGCCACAGTTATTGATTATTTAAAATTGATATGAATTAAGTTCTTCTAGTTATTTTAAAATGTGTAATCTGATTATATCTTTAATAACTTTTAAAGTTGTTTAGTACATTTAAAGTACTGTTCAAAGTACATTTACTCTAAGATCATTTATTGAAAACTGGAAAGTTCGAAAGTTTAATCGATAATTAATAATTAATACATATGAAATGTATTGTATGAAAATATTATATTTTACACGTGTCGGTTAGTATCTACATTTATGTTCAGTTAATGTATTATATATAAATGTAACTTTACATAATAATACATTATACACACGTATTCATATAATATCTACATTTTAGATGTCAGAGGGACGTTTACCTAAACCTAATCTGCGTAATCTTCAAGCTTCAAAGGCTAGGGGCAATTTCCTTCAACTAGCACTCAGTTGTATCGCTGTTGGTGCTGCCTATAAATTTTTAGTTGCAGATGTCACTCAGCGTAGGATAGAAGAGTTTTACAAGTGATGAAAGTTTTATTAAGATTATAATGAAGTTATCCCTCTCTTTCAGTTTTTTAATGTAAACATTTGTTTTGTTTTAGAACATATGATCCTGATGCAGCATTAAAAGTAATGAATGATGCTGGACTTATGCATTCAGCTCCACAGTGAGCTTCATAGAAATAATTTCCTGCATATATATAAATATTTAGTGTTATTAAGAAATGTCGTTTATTAAATGATGTATTAATAAACTTGTATAATAGAGAATCATTAAATATTAAATATGAACCTATAGAATTTACAATTTGGAAGACACTTTAAAGGTTTTAAATGTTCATTTTGTTCAATGCGTTTATTTTCAATATATTTGATTTAAAAGTACATTCTGTTCACAATAATAATAATAATAAATTTAATTTTTAATGAATATTTAATAAAATTTATTTATTTTCAAGAATGATT